GAATATACACAGGTTTTCTGACAAGGGTGGAACTGCCTGGGAAAGGCAGAGACAGGGCAGGCACTCTAGGTGGGGGACAAGAGCAGAGTTGTGTGAGTAGGTCCCAAGCACATTTGAGGAGGGTGAGCCATGTGGCCCATGATGGTGGAGGGTGCCGGGGACAGGTTAGGCCCATTCCAAGGAGGCCCAAATGCCAACTGAGAGACATGGGCATTTATCCTCATGCAGAGCTCAGTGCTTATTCCAATTTTTTATGCTCAAGCATAAGGTCTCTGATGGCCTAAGACCTGTACAAAATCTGTCTGTTCAAAAGTCCCTTATGACCTGGTGTGCAATGGCTGCAAACAGCAGCCTCCGTAATAGTGTACACAGCCTGTTGTTTGTATGGGTTGCTTTAAGGGACTTTGGAGACAGCCCTTTCCAATGGATGTTCATGTCTCTGACCTAGTGCTGTCTCCAGTCTAGGCTCCAGACAGGTATGTGGGGTACTTTTGGAGAGACCCAGAGCAGAGTGGCCAGGGGGCATAGTAGCCAGGGTTCATCTGGCCAAGTCATCATGTCCATCCACACCAAGCACAGAACAAGGAGCATATGATTGGGGTCCTATGCAGGGCTAAGTTCAAGTTCCCCAGCCACCAGAAGATGCACATCTCAAAGACGTGGGGCTTTACCAAGTTTAATGCAGATGAATTTGAAGGCATGATGGCTAAGTGGCTCATCCTGAATCATTATTGGGTTAAATACATCTCCAACTGTGGCCCCCTGGACAAGTGGCGAGCCCTGCACTTGTGAAGGCTTCTGCTGTGCTGCCCCATCCTTACTCACACCTGCTAATAAATCCTAATTCCTGTCCACCTAAGGAAAAACAAAAACAAACCACAAAGTCCTTTATGAAGCCCGTGCAATTTATCATGAGGACCACACCAATAGGGCGAGGTGAATCCCCATACACTTCATGAGTCCCAGAGCAATTGTAATTTGGTTGTCATTATTAAGCACCTAATGTAAACTCATTCTTGTTGCTAGATGTGTTTGCCAGAGTTGTCTTTTTTAGCTTAATCTCTACAACTAAGCTATTTCATTCTGCTTTTAGAAACTGAGAATATTAGAACTCAGAATGTTGGTATCCCCACACCACTGTTTTGTAGCTGTGTGACATCAGTCACATTACTTTGCCTTTTTCCTTTCACTTTCCTTATCTATAAAAAGAAGGTAAAACTCCCTAAGACCCAAAATTTTTTTGAGGAAAAAATGAGTTAATACCTACAAACACTCTTAAGGTAGTGCCTGGCAGATCCTAAACTCTCAATAAATACCAGTTATTGTTATTATCATATAACACTTTGATGATCTGATTAATATCTCTTCAACCGTCACTAAGAAATCAGCTCCATGAAGAAAGAGGCCTTCTCAGGTTTTGCTCACAATCACCAAGCACACACCAGCCACATAGTAGGATTGTAGAATAAATAAAAGAATGAGGCCAAGGTAAATGAATAAATACCAGTTATTGTTATTATCATATAACACTTTGATGATCTGATTAATATCTCTTCACCCGTCACTAAGAAATCAGCTCCATGAAGAAAGAGGCCTTCTCAGGTTTTGCTCACAATCACCAAGCACACACCAGCCACATAGTAGGGTTGTAGAATAAATAAAAGAATGAGGCCAAGGTAAATAAATCTTTGGCAATGAATTCACTTACCAAAATCAGTCCTGGCATCATTGTTTGAATTAATACCCATGGGAATCCCACAGTGAAATGGAGGAGGCTACCATGTCAACAAGTTCCTGTGATCCAACCCACTGAGTGTAGTAACATGGGTTTGTACAAAGATCTATGGGGACATGGAGGAGGAAGCTACTTATTATGCCTGTGCAAAGCTGGTGAAGACTTCCCAGAAGAAGTGACATGTGAGCTGGAATCTGAAGGATGTGACACAGGGCATATCTTTCACGTGTTGGGGGAAAGGCAAGGTGTGCCTTCTAGCTGTGAAGTTCTGTATTCTGGGATTTTGGAGATAATGCTAGATGAAGACACTCAACATGAAGAAACCTCATTTAAGGGCCACTAGGCCTCATTGCTTTCCAGGGACCCCGATAAGGTAGACATAAGAGATGCACAATATTTCAAAGAACCCTGATGATCGTAGGTAGTAGACCTCCAGGAATACCTGTTATACTGCATTCCACTTCCATGCCACCCTCATACAGGCTCAGACAAGACACTAAGTGTGTCTGAAGACACTGTGTAGCTTTCCAGGTCACAAGCATGAACATAACCTGAGGGACTTATGGAACACTATCAAAGAAACCAGCATACATATCATAGAAGCCCCAGTAAGGAACGAGGGGGAAAAATGGGCAGAAATATATGAAGAAATAATGACTATAAACTTTCCAAATTAGGTGAAAGACATGTATCTACACATCTAGTGTTAAAGAGAGCACTGGCAGTCCATGGCATAATATGGCAATACAAATATAGAAAATATCAGATTTGGACATTACTAACCAAATACTTATAAAAGGCAAGGTTCCAGTTGACTACGAATGAGGGCACTTCAGAAAGTTAGTGGAAAAATAGAATTAAATGATAATATGATCTTTTCACAAGCTTTTTGAAGTACCCTCATATTTGATGTTTTAGATCATCTTTGGCCGTCTAACAAATGCAAAGACATCAGCTCCTTGCTCCTAATTGCACTAGATTAAGTGAGGAAAGAAAAACATGAGCTCAGTGCTTCAAATTCCCAGCTCAAACACCACATAATCGACCTAAAATGTCTACATCTTCCCTTAAATAAATCCGTATTTCCTGTAGCTGCAGAGCTGAGATATCTGAAAACCCAACCCAGAGTCTTACCCTGCAAATGTCTGAATTACAACACAGGTTAAATTCCCAACCTTGCAGGGATTAAAGTGAGGGCATTGATTGGGAAGGAACGGTGTCCTGAAAATTGGCATGGGGACATATGGGCAGTTCCTGATAACGCTGAAGGCATTAAACTCCAAAATTCTGTTGGATCTGTTTTGCCAGTAAAAGAAGTCCTCCTACCCCTATCTGAGGAGCTTAACTCCACTTTGCCTGAGGAACCTGAGGTAGTTGCCTTGCAAGACAGTGCAGATTCTGCTCAGCACCACACCCACCAGCCCTCTTTGCTTCTAGACTTATTAGTAGACTCAAGTACTGGCAGGCATCAAATGATGAGTTATGAAGTGGGGACTGTGAGAAAGTGTGTTACTTTCTGAAATAACTGCATGTTGTTCCCAATTTATACAGACAGAAATCTAAGGAAACTGTGTGGGAAAGGATATTGGGGGTGTGGGATAATAGCGGAAGTAACCTAAAGTTGGATCGGATTGTATTTATTGTTATGGGCCAAATGAGAAGAGATTCTCTATTCAATGTTGTACCTCAACGAGTTAAAAAGGGCTCTAACAGTTGGTTCAGTTGATTGGCTGAAACATGGACCAAAGGTGGCCTATGCTAAATGAAGATGAACTGCCTTGGTATACTGTAAAAAAATGTACCAATAGACTTAGAGAGATTGG